GATATATATATATATATATATATATATCTGATATATAATTACAATATTAATTAAGGATAATCATAAGATTATAGTTTGTGTGGTCTTGTAATATTGATACTATATTCAACAATAAATGGTATAAACTTATAAAATATTCAAGAACTCAAGCTTGCATAAAATCTCTCAAAGCAGTATTTTTATTGTATAAACATATGCTTTTTTTTACTACAAACTGTTGAGCAGTTGTGTGTGTACACACACACATGTGCACTTTGTAAGCAAAACAGGGAAGTTATGGATTAATTTAATATAATTTTGCTTAAAATCAGTCAAAACAGCACAATAAAGTCAATGTGCAAATAAATGTGAGATATATTTACTATACATAACCCTAGCATGGTTGGAACAATCACCTTGAAATATGTGAGAGACGAATCAAATTGCATCACTGCTCGTAATTGCCCTTTCAACCATAGGGTGTTATTATGACAAAATCAATCTTGCTATTCATTGGTAATGAGTAGTTAAAGAATTCTTGGTGAGTGGTGTTGGCTAGCTACCTTCTCTCTAGTTTATTACTTCAAAATTAGAGGAAGCTAATGCAGTTAGTTCTCAAGTAGCTTTGCACAAAGTTTGTTAGAAATGGTTTTGCTTTCTAAGAATGGCACTTATGGCCAGCTTGAAACACACTGCTGTAATTGGCTGGCTTCAATACATCTGATGACTTTCCACATCTAAATATTTTTATAAAGTCCAACCGTGGTTCATAAGCAATTTGAACTTTAAACTCTGGGATTCACTTCAAAGTAACAACTGAAACACAATTATGTGAGAGACTATTAATAACATAGGCTAAATAATCAGTTATTAATTTGCATTTGAGATCACATGACTGACATAAGCTGTAATTATAGTTTAACTGTTTTGAGTAGTGTAGTTGTTGGTTGAAACAATGTGATTCAACTATGAAATATTTATTCTGTAAATTACTGAAGTCATACTCTGATTGGTGGGTGGAATAAGTTTGTTCTTCAGTTATTTTAAAAACCTTTGTTACAGGCAAAAAGAAACCAAAAACATTTTGCACATGTTTAGATGATAATCTCTTTTTCACTACTGAAATTATTTCTATTATGTATTTCAGAATTCTGTGTCCTTCATGCCCTCTTCTGAAAACGCTGGGTGAGAGAATTCCCTACGAAATAACAGCAGGAGCTAATGGTCGGGTTTGGATCAATGCCAACACCATACAGAATACCTTATTAGTGTATAATGCTATTTCTTTTGCTGAGCATATGACTCCTGAAGAGGTTAATATAATGTGTTCAGAAATTTTACATGGTAATCAAGAAGCAACTTTAGTAACAATGCTTAAATAAAAATGCTTTTCAATTACAAGAGTTGTCAAATAAAAATTTGAAGAAGGATAAAATATTTTTATACATCTTTTTTGTTTATATTTTTGGGGGGGAAAAATTTGTATATAATGAAGTTGACAATTCCCACATAAAAAAAGATTTAAAATTCAAGAAACATGATAACTGCATCATACTTGGAAGATATATCTTATTACTTTTCACAATGCTAATGAAGAAAGGATATTTTTATATATATATATATAAATTTAACACATCACCCTGCTAACTAACAAAAAATATGTGTGGCGCTCGTGGGTTAGCTTAGTTAGCAAGCAATGTCACTGAATTTAATCTTGATTAATCTTAAATCTACTCATTATAGAGTTCAGTAAATACCTACAGTTCTAAACACAGCAGAAAGATGAAGAGGTATCATTAAGGCTTTATTCCAAATGTCTAATTAATAAAGTCTCTTTTATTCACAATGTTTTTTCCTTCTCTGCTGAGCAGAGAATTTGAAGTCTCACTGAAAGGTTTACATGTTGTTGAATTGTATGTAAATGTTGGAATGATTTCCATTGTTCCATTTGAGATCTTTGATTTGAACTGCTAGGTGATGTACTAAGGAACCAATATAAATCTATTTAAAACAGGTACACATAAATTTCTAAACAACATGTATCTCTATAGCATTGAAATAAAATATTTCCCTTTTAAAAAACCTTTAATACATAATGCTAGGCTGCATTTTATGTTCAGCTTGAGGCATGATGGTGGGTAAAACAAAATATGTGGCCTA